CGTTCAAGGAAACAAATCCCTAGCAATAATGGGCTCTATTCCTGCGAAGACATAACAATAATGGGCCAATATTCCTATGAAGCCCAATACAGCCCAAGTAATTACTACCTATCCTTTTTTTTTTTTTTGGGGTGCTTATCTTCAAGTTCAAAAACATAGCCAATCAATCATATATAACAACGAAAATCTTAGAAATGCATACAAACAAATGTTTTTGGTATGAAAACAAAAAGAAGCCTACAATGCTCATAAAGAATGTTCCCATTGAATGATGTACATCATCTTCTTTAACTAATACGTAGTCTCTGATCCGCAATGGAATCCAACATTTTAGTGAGTATCGACGACCGCAACAGTTTCCATGACTGGCTGAGTTTCACCTCTAGAAGCTTCCATACTATGATAAACTCGGCAGCTAAAATAGAACACTGCGCTCATCATCGAATCTATAAGCGTCACAAAGGAATACATCAACACCAATAGAGGTCCTTCCCATAACCTCGAAGACCCGTCACCATAACTCACCTTCTTCACTCTATGATCAAACAACCCTTCCACAAACGCCAATCCTAGCGTCGATCCAAGAAATATCAACAAACCCACCTGAATCTGCCCTTTGACCACATCACTAGCTCTCACCAATGCTCCTACCCCTGAAACATCCTCCACAACAGAGATCACCATCGCCGTGTTGCAGATTATAATCGCGTTGGCGAAAACTACAGAGAACGCTAAACCAACTAAGACGGCTCCATAAGCATTGAAATCGGGAGAGAATCCGAGAGCGTAGAACGAGCTGCAGATTGCTACAAGGAGAACGCAGAAGAAAGTGAAGCAAGCAACAATGAGAATGCAAATCCACAGGTAAGTGAAAACAACTCGTCTCCATAGCTTCTGCAGTGCAACCAAGAACTTGCTCAAATCGACCTTTTCCCTCGAGTAAGTGCAATCCACCGAGTAAACCACGGCTGTTTTAGACAAGAGAGACAGAGTGATGAACAAAGGGAAACACAAAGCCGATGAAACAGCAGTCTCAGCGAATTTCTGACAAGAGTGTTTGACAAATGGCTGCAAAGGGAGACCACTTGACTTTGCCAATAAGAGGAGCTTCACAGTGAGTTTGCTCACTAGCGATTGATCAAGTAAAAAGTTTGGTAAGAGAATAGCAGAGACAGGACAGATCAAAAGAGCAGCGGTTAACATGAAAGCAGCAAGATTGTAGCGGAGGATACGAACGGTTTCTCTTAGGATCTCTAAAGCATTGGAAGAGTGAAATTGCTTGTGACTGTATGTCTTTAGCTCTGGTTTCCGTACGGATCCTCCCAGATTCGTTTCCGTCTCCATATTTTTCGAGTGAAGTGGGTTTAAATGAATTCGAGATTACAGACCATAAGCAATCCTGATTTCACAAGCAGGGAAGCAAATTGAACATCCTTCAGATTGCCTACATACCAAGAAAATCAAAATTTGGAGTGAGTCATTGAAAGCGATGGTGATTGAGCTGGTACAAAGTGGATTGAAACGAAAAGAAAAGCGTGCGATTGGGTTTATCGGAGCCGGGTTCGGATCCTACCTCAATTAAAAAAAAAAAAGACGAATCTTGAACGGGATCTCGGCGATGTTGTCTACGTTCCTAGAAACGTAAAGAAAGGTAAGTAAACAGTTTTGTTATTTTTTAAAGAAGAAAAAACAAAAAAAAACAATTTGTCGGTGGCACAGGTGAAGGCAGAACCATCGTGTTCTGTCCCCCCCTCACACAGAAGATAATCGAACTGTGAAGCTGAACCGGAAATTAAACCGGTTAAGAAATCGTGATCATTGAAAATTTGAGCCAGGCCCAATAAAAGCCCGTTCGTATATTAGCTTTGAAATAAATAAATAAATAAAAACTTTCCGGTGAACGGAAATGGCAAGAAGGGAAGGAGTACGATGAAGTTGAGAGTTAGAGTGAGACGTCGTTGACCAGTAAGGGGACGAGAGCTACAATGGAGCTGAATCTCTCTGAGAGTTGGAGCAGATCAATTCGTTGCATTGTCAAACTCGGTTTGTCTTCTGATCTCAGATTCATGTCTCAAATCGATTCTTAGATCGCATTTTTACTTATGGATTCCGAATGGGGATTTGATTTTTTCAATCCCGACAAGGAGGAAAGACTCCAGAAGATACCATTTTTTTCCTTGTCCTAACATCAATGAATTTGTCTGTGATCATAGGAGGTGCGGCAATTACTCGCAAGAACGAGCTGGAGACGATTCACGATGAGAATCTGGAGATCGTTGCTTGCCAGTTACGTCAGGCTATGATTGAGGGTTCAGCTCCGAGCAAGGTTATTGGAATGGACTGGAGCAAGAAACCTGGAAGCTCTCAGATTTCTTGTCATGTCGATGAATTAGGGGATCACGAGTCTACTGAGTTTAGCAGATTCGTTGTGGTTCACGGCGCAGGTTAGTGTTTTTTTTTCCCCTTTTTGGACATTATTTCATCTCTCTGCTTTACTCTTAGTTATGATGAAGGACATTCAAAGCACACATCTTTGGCTACTTGTTTGAGACTTAACACTAGTCCTGCTTGTGTTCTTGAGCTGTTATTTAGTTTTTGGGTTTATTATGTGCTGATCTAATCTGCGTCATTAGGTTCTTTTGGGCACTTTCAGGCCAGTAGATCTGGTGTTCACAAAGGAGGACTTGAGAAACCTATTGTCAAAGCTGGTTTCGTTGCTACTCGCATATCTGTGAGATCTTGTACTAAAGCTTAATACTCTTATTTTGGATGCTCTGGAGTTGTTCCTCTGATACTTACTCTTTCCACTCCTTTTTCAGGTCACAAGTCTTAATCTTGAAATTGTACGAGCACTTGCCCGAGGTACCTCTTATCTTCTTTGTCTCCTCTGAAACTATATTTTACTGAGATGAGATGATGAATTTTGAAGCTATACTTTATGCTTCCTTGCAGAGGGTATTCCCACAATCGGCATGTCTCCATTTCCATGTGGTTGGTCAACCTCCAAAAGAGACGTAAGACCCAGCTCAACGTTTTTTCTTTTCCCTTTACGTATATCCTGATCTGAAGCATGTTTGGTTCGATTCTAATGAGATTACTATTTGCATTAGGTGGCTTCTGCAGATCTATCAACCGTAGCTAAATCCATACACTCCGGATTTGTCCCTGTAAGTTTTGAATCCCACCCCTGGCATTATGTACATGTTTCCCAAAGTCTCTAGACCGTAAATTTTGACTGTTATTTTTTTCCTGGCCAGGTTCTACATGGAGATGCAGTGCTAGACAACATACTGGTAATATGCTCTACTGGGATACCAAACATCTGTCTAGATTCCTATCCTCTTGGAATTCAACTGTTGGAAAATCTTGTCCTGAACAGGGCTGCACCATATTGAGTGGTGATGTTATCATCCGTCATCTTGCAGAACATTTGAAGCCAGAATACGTTGTTTTTCTCGTATCCTTTTCATGCAATTTGATTTTCTTAATATGTGTCCTCTCTCCCTCTCCCTATGTATTCTTTGTTATTTGAATAACTCTTTACAAAGACAGACGTACTAGGTGTCTACGATCGACCCCCTTCAGAGCCTGATGCTGTGCTCTTGAAAGAGATCGGTTAGTACCAAACTGTACTGTTTTCTTTTCAAATTCTTTTTCAAGTCTTGGCCTAATCCTAACCGTCCATGCAGCTGTTGAAGAAGATGGAGGCTGGAAGGTTGTGAATCCAGTGTTGGAGCACACAGACAAGAAAGGTAATAAAAGGAACCAATATTCTAAAAGTATGCAATAAGTCTAAGGGTTAGTTGTCTGATTTGGGAATCAAACAGTTGAAACTTCTGTTGCGGCCCACGATACAACCGGTGGTATGGAAACAAAGATATCAGAAGCTGCTATGATTGCAAAACTTGGAATCGATGTCTACATTGTGAAGGTATACAAAAGACATGTTTTTGCCTTTAAGCAATCTTATCTCTTAGGTAAAAAAAGGAGCTTTAAACCATCATTGTGCTTTGCTTATCTCCTAAACAGGCTGCTACGACTCATTCACAGAGAGCCCTCAACGGCGAATTAAGAGATGTTGTACCTGAAGATTGGCTTGGTACTGTCATCAGATTCTCAAAGTAGAAGGCTCTCTGACACACATAAACACTAATTCCAGTTTTAAAGAAACAAAAATTGATGTCTTCTTGCTAATGTTGTTTGTGTATTGCCAGACTTTGTGCATGGACAATGTCGTGTAATGTTTTCGAATGCATACAGAAGAAAAAGGTCCAAACTTTTGGCAACACTTTCCTAAACTAAGATCGCTAACTACCTTTTGTACCGAAATAAAATGTTTTCAACTCTAGCTCTTGCGCACAGCAGTTGATTGAGATAAGCTTGACATAGCTTCTCCTGAATTCATAATTTGTTTGTCAAATCCTTTCTTGGTTTGAAACTTGTATAGATGGCTCATAACTGAAAGGTCCTTGTGATTTCTCACTGTCAAAAGAATCCAAATTCCACAGATATATGAGATGAATTTTCAGAAGGATTGAGAATCGCAAAGTCGAGCGAGAGTTGCAACCTCCATGTTGGCAATGTGCCTAAAGTGTCCAAGTTACAAATCCAAGTAAATTACTTAAAAAAAAAAAAAGAAGATACTAAACCAACTCTTGCAAGATTGGGTGTGCAAGCAAAAAAACAAGTGTGAGGAGCAAGTGAAGAGACAAAATGAAGATTGGTTAGATCGCAGTCTGATAAGTGGTGGATTTATGAGGATTCTGAGCATCGTAAAGACAAAATTAACAGAGGAATTGTGCAACAGTGGAAAGAAAGCTGCTTAACCCAACCTTTGTAAATATCACACATAACCACAGAATAATAAGCATAAAGGGTTTTAAGGCTAAATGGAATAAAAGAAACAAAAATTAATTCAAGCACAAACGCAAAGTACTTCCAAGTAGACAACAAACATTAGATAAAGATTATAATTAAGCTACGTAGATAGCCTCGCATCCATCATTTTTGGTTTGGTGACGACGAGACGCATCTCGCCCGGTTGGATGAACGTAAGTTTGCATGTATCCCCAATGACTAAGGGATACTCCCTAGCCAAAACAGCAGAGAAGCATGGATGCCAATAATCTGTTAAGCATTCTTTCCTCAGCAATTCCCACGACTTATTCATATCCTGATGATGTATCTTGAATGTCGTCTTAGTCGTTGGCATATGATCCTTTGCAAAAGACTGCTTGATCGCCTGAAAAAAGAAGAAAAACAATCTTTTGATTTACTCACATATCAATTGTTTGGAGAAGCAAATGCCAAAGTGTTTTGGTTTTCTCATATCTTACCAGGAGGTTTGAGGTATGCTCTCTTGATGACAACGGTGAATCCTCGGCCTGCAGAATCCTTCTTCCTCTTACTAGATGAAGCAAAAGAGGCCGTGGATAGAGGAGGTTGCAGCAGCTCCCTGAAGATGCTCACAGTGAAACGCATTGCTCCTTTATGAGTGAATTTCAGCAAGTCACCGCCTTTTAAACAGTTTTCTCTCAGAAAACGGTTCCAGTCAATCTTGTTCATGAAGAAGAATCCTGGGTCTTTGCAGATTTCTATTTGCCAAGTGGCTCCCCACTTTGTACTTATCTTCATCCTACCAAGGAGCTCTGCATCCGGAGAAGCTTCTCACAAAATCTAGAGGATGTGCTCTCTGGTTATAGATGACGAGAGATAAGAAGGGATACATATGAAACTAATATCAGGAACGGCAAGATGAAAATGTCTGTGAATTCTTTGATTCATAAACACAGAACCAAAAGATTCAAACTTTTGAAACCCATTGTTACAAACTACAAAGAACCAAAAGATCCAAACCTTTCTAGATAAAGCTAATATAAAAACATGAATATGTTAGAAAACAGTGCGCTTTGTACACACATCCATCATGTACTTGAAGAACAACAAGACTCTACCTTTAAAAAAAAAAAAGCTAACAAGTCTCATCTTCTCAACACACACAACTAGAAAGGTCATTACAGAGAGCATCAGTGAGTTCTTTTGAGATTCATAAACAACTGATAAGGTTCACAGGACTTATTTCAGAACCAAGAAGAAGACAGAGCAAATTATATCCGTTCCTGATGATGARGTGGCAGCTGAAAGGAAAGACTTGGGATGATTCAGAAGGTTTCAAACAAACGAAGCTGAGATTTGAATAAAAGGAGTTGACGACTCTGCATATTTTCTMGATGTTGAATATCGGATTGTTTTTACCCAGAATGTTCTGGAAGAGATCTTTYYGCTTGTGATGTGCTTGCTCATCGATTCTACTATCTCGTTTGCTTGATCTATTCTTGTAAAACYATTTATTATATRTATCTTCGATTACATCCTTTGTAATCGGAGAGTTTTCCGATTTGATTACAAGTTGAGTTTGGGGTACTAAAATCTACCAACAACAGAATCAAAAGATTCAAACTTTTGAAACCCATTGTTAACACTACCAAGAACCAAAAGATTAAGCCTTTCTAGATAAAGCTAATATAAAAACATGAATATGTTTGAAAACAGTGAGCTTTGCACACATCCATCATGTATTTGTAGAACAACAAGACTCCACCTTTTTTAACAAGTTTGATCTTCTCAGCACACGAAACTAAAAGCTAAAGAAAGTTCATTACAGAGAGAAGATTTCACAGACAGAGAACCAAAAGATTCAAACTTTTGAAACCCATTGTTACAAACTACAAAGAACATGAATATGTTAAAACGCAGAGTTACCGTGCTATCTGAAGACTCGTCTCCACTCTGAAGAATCTTGGAGAAACCTTCCTCCTTCCTAGCCATTGCAAAACTTCGTCG